ATGCCTTTCTTGAGGTCTTACAGATATTGTTGTTGCCTTATATAGGTCTTACGAGACCGAGGTTGCCCACATGAGGTCTTATGGCCTTGGGTTTCTTGATAAGTCGATAGGGGGTGGCAATTGGCGGCAGTCCCCGAGTCAGCAAAAGTTTCTTGGCTCGGGAGCCATTCCTTGTAAACTTGGTATTGCCTCATTGAGGGCTTACGAGTTCGGAGTTTCCGACCTAGTGGTCCTGTGGCCTTGAGTTTTCGACTCCAGTCCCCGAGTGTTCGGGACGGTTTTTTTGCTCTGAAGCCGTTTTGTAAACTTGGCGTTGCCTCATTGAGGGCTTAGCTTCAATTTTTTGATGTCAGTCCCCGAGTGTTCGGGACGTTTTTGGATTTGGAGCCGTTTTTGCAAAAAATACCGAACTCCTTAGAGATGCAAGATGCTTTGATAAAGGGGAAAGTATTATTTGATTACTTGGTACAAGTATACGTATTTTTGCTGTTAAGGGCTCGATTATTCTATACGGACGTGGTTCGTTTGACCGTTTGGCTCGATACATTATTTTCCTATCGAGACCCTGTTCAGCACATCTTGGCTTCTCCGGGGAGGTGACCTTCCGGGGGGATGTCCCTCAGTATTCGAGGTTGATTGCAAAAGAAGCCTTAAATACTTGTTGAGTCTTCCTTAGGTAGAATATAGATGTTGCCTCATTAAAAATATTGCGGGTAAAACCCTTCTTGGGATAAAAACCCGATCGAAGGAAAAGAGTGCAACGTATCCTTTCGGAATCTAAGGCCTTCGAGTTAGAAAGTGCTTCGGCCATTTCCATCGGATACATGCATTCAGGTTAGTATGAATGTAACTGAAGAAGGGAGATGACCGTACCTTAGTGCTGACGGCTCTTCAAACCTTGATGTGATTCAATCGTTTGTTATGAGGACTTGGTACGGTCCTTCGTTTTGTTTAATTGGGCTTAGCCGAGAATGTAGCTTGTTATTGCTATCTTACTATTTGCTTATCCTTCGGCTCCTTCGATGGTGAAGGTATTGGTTTTTGTGTCACATCGTGCACCGCGAACATCTCTTTTGCCGCAAGCTGCTCCCCATAGACGGTTTTCACCCTATCCTTTTTCAGGAATTTTATCATTTGATGGAGGGTGGATGGTACTGCTCTCATGTAGTGTATCTATGGCCTCCCGAACAAGGAGTTATACCTCATGTCTCCTTTGATGACATGGAATTTGGCATTTTGGGTTGTGCCAGCCACGTTGACTGGGAGGGTGATTTCCCCTTTCGTTGTCTCGCTTGCTATGTTGAACCCGTTGAGGACTCGAGAGGCGGGCATGATTTGGTCAAGCAGTTCGAGCTGCTCTACCACCCTCGACCTGATAATATTGGCCGAGCTACCTGGATCCACAAGCACACATTTAATTTAAAATATATTTACAAGGAAAGAGATTACCAGTGCATCGTTATGAGGCTGAGACAAGGTCTCGATGTCCTCATTGTTGAATGTGAGAGCATCCTCGGGTATGTAACCACGGGTTCGCTTTTCTCTAGTGATGGATATTTTTGTTCTTCTGATAATGGGTTCTTGTGGAGCATCGATGACTCATAAGATCATATGGATGACATGTTGTGGCTTACTTATTTAATTCTTCTTGATTGCCTCTCTTTTTCGGAACTAATTTTTGGCCAGGTCGCTGAGGAATTCTCGGAGGTGACCTTTGCTGAGTAGTCGGGCTACTTCTTCCCAGAGTTTCCGACAATCTTCGGTCATGTGGCCGTGCGTGTTGTGAAATTCACACACTAAGTTATGGTTTCTTTGCAGAGGATCTGATTGTACAGGCCTTGACCACCTGGTGTCTCTGATTTTACTGATGGCGAATATGATGTCTAAAACGTCAACGTTGAAGTTGTATTTCGACAAGTGGGGCACCTAACAAGTTCCCGAGGATTCTGGCCTCGATCTATCCTCTAGTCATTGCAGGGTATGTTGTGCCTTGGGCGTTTCTTCTATCTTCAGTGTATGGTTGGTATCTCTCATTATTCAGCTTTGACTCCTTTGCTGGAAGCCTGTTAGGATATATCGAGCCCGAGGGGGTTCCTAGTTGGTCACATTCGGCCCTGATCTTTGATTGGTATCGGTTGTGGACGTCCGACCTAGTCACAGCGGGATACTCGACTAAGTTCTGCTTCAATTGTTTCAAACCTTGAGTGAAGGCCTGTACCGCCCAGTCATCGGAGACCGGTGGTAGTTCCATTCATTCCATTTGAAAGCAAGATACGAACTCTCGCAGCATCTCGTTCTCCCTTTGCTTGATTTTAAAGACGTCGGATTTCCTTGTAGCTACTTTGATGGAACCAACATGTGCCTTTATGAAAGAATCTGCCAGAATGGCAAATGAATCTATCGAGTTTGGGCCAGGTTGTGATACCACATCATTGCTCCTTTTGAAAGCGTCTCTTCGAACTTTTTCAGTAGGACAGACTCGATCTCGTCGTCATTTAGGTCGTTGCCTTCACTATACAAGTGTAAGTAGTGACATGCTCGTTGGGGTCCGAGGTTCCGTTGTACTTCATAAGGTCGGGCATTCTGAACTTCTTTGGAATGGGTTTGTGGGCAGCTTCCTGTGGGAACTAATTTTGTACAAACTTCTTTGAATCTACACCTTTCAGAATCGGGGGTGCGCCCAGAATTTGATCGACCCCAGAATTGTAGGTCTCTACCTTCTTGTCGTTGGCTTCTATCTTCTTCTCGCTCGACTCGATCCTCTTTTTGAGGTCCTCGAGCATCTTTATGATGGCGGGGTCGGCTGCCGATCCATTGTTGCTTGATCTTTCTGGTACCTGCTTGGCTCGGGGAGCCGTTTCCCGAGCTACCGTGCTGGGAGTCTTTTGGTGGCTTTGCAGCTGAGCAATCACCAGTTGTTGTGCTTGTAACATTTCAAAGATGACGTGAAGGCTAACCCCTTGTTCTTCCTGAGCCGGGGTTTTTTGAGTTTCTTGTTGATCTTCTTGGTGTATTCTCTTGTTGGTGTGGGAGCTTATATCGACGTGTTAGACGTTGCACGAGACCACGTCCACGAGAATTGGTTCTGGTGTATTCTCAGGGTTTTATGGTGGTACACCAACACCTAGAACATCCACACCATTTTCTCCGTGGTCTTCAAGGTTGTCGTTTTTACGTGCATTTACTGAGTTAGATATTTTGACCTGAAATCAAAGATCTTGGACAAGAAAAAGTGTGAAAAGTAACTTGTGTTATGTAATAAACCAACAAGAAAATAATCACTATTATTTTTAGCCCCACGGTGGGCGCCAAACTGTTTACCTTGAAAATGGTAATTACAATTAGATTTGATTTTGTGGTTCTACAAATATGTGATCTATTTTTATGCTAGTTGTTAGGCAATTGATGTTAAGTGAAAGACTAAAAAATAAGGTAGAAGCTTGTAGATAATGTAATAACCAAATCGAATGATCGGAGATTGGGGCCTCGAGCTGACGTATATGGGGCCTCGAGGTCGAGTCAGATGCACGGCTTAGAGCAATCGAGGGAGGATTAACATTTATGAGAGCTACGATGGTGGCTCTTTATGATCAATGATAAACAATCAATGAAGAACAATAAATGGAACACTATGAATATAATCAATAAATGCCAGCAATGAAATCAAGAGAATATGTTAGAAAGCAGAGATACTGTTCTTGTATATTCAATATCAAGCATTAGATCCTTACAAAATGACAAGGGTCTCCTTTATATATGAGGGGGAATCCCAACATAGTACAAATGCATTTATTACCAAGATACATGGTTAGTACAACTATTTAATGTCACGGTACGGGCTAAAGCTAGCCAAATAGACTAGGTCAGCTTTATCACATGCCTTGGGAGCCTTCCACTTTTTCACCATAACTATTGATCTGCACTGCCTCGAGGTTGGACGTCGATAACTTCTCGGGTGTTAATCTCGACCATAATCTCGAGCCTATGTAAACGTGCTTATGAAGCGTCGTAATGACCGAAAATTAGACCCTCCGATTTTACCGTATACAAGAAATATTTAATTGGATGCGATATTAGATATTAATTTGATTAAACTATTATATCAACAATACTAGAGAAGCTGTCGTGTTCTTTGTATATTGAACTTATATATTCTTTGGTTTTGTTTGCATCTTTGTTTATATCGGAACGCATGTGTTATAAGTCGAAATCTCTTGTAACTTTTCCTCTAGAAAATGGTTATAAAACCCTGTGGCTCGTAGCACAGGACACTTTAGAGCTCGGGTTATCTCAAAAGCTCACTTATATTGCTTGAATATCACGAAATGTAATGGTTTCGAGGTTTCTTCTAATTTAAATTCTTTTTATACGTTTTCTCTCGGTTACTGCTTACTACAATTGAAAAGGTTTTTAATCCCATAAAAGTTTTAGACATTGAATTAAGAGCTTGCTGTTCCAGGTTGTCTGTATTAATTTGTCTTTTTCTTTTTTTGGGGCTAGAACTATATCTTTCTTGAGCTGTTAGGATGACATCCATACCTACCAACTAAAAAATGTTAGAACTATATCTTTCTTGAGCTGTTAAAATGTTAATTCACCTAAAAGTCAAAGTGACTAATTGTTTTTCTATGGGAACATAGACAATTACATAATTTGTTTCAAATAAAATTAATATATTCTGAAACTACCTAAAAATACTAAATTACATGTGTTCTGATTAAAACTTTTTAATTTTTTTTTTGACCCTCGTAACTTTAGCTCCATTCAAATATGACTTCCTCAGATAATATCATCGTATATTGAAATCACAGATTAGTATTTACGTCGTTACATTTTGTTAAAGAAAATATAGCTCAAAGCTCATAAGGGCAGTCTTGTAATTTTACCATGTTAGTTAGTTATTCTTTGAAGTCACTGTTAACAGAAATAGTTTGTTAATTGATTAAGGTTAGATAGCTCAAGCTAGTGATCTAGTATAAATAATGTTGTAATCTTTCATTCAAACTAAGTTCAATAATGCAGAATCAATATTTCTGTTTCTACACTCTTCTCTCTCGTTTTCTTCTTTCTACTCTACAGTATCTTCTTATTCTCTTAAGTCACTGATTTTGTGACTATCATTTCTTCAATCAATTAAGTTCATGGTATCAGAGCCTCAAAGCCAAGTTCATACAACTTTGATTTGATTCAAAATTCCGCAATTCTAATTCAATTCTGTTGTTTCTTGGTTGTATCGAGAAATTCAAGAACTGAAAAATGAGTTTAAACAATGATCAAGAAGATGATTTTCGTCTGAACCAAACCGCTGGAGTATCTTCTCAACAAGCAGGTATGGATTACAATCACTCCCTGTTTCTTCATCCTTCAGATGTTAGCGGAATACAGATTATCTCATTTCAGCTGACTGAAATTGAGAATTACTCTGTTTGGTATCGGTCTATGCGTGTAGCGATGCTAGGAAGGAACAAATTAGGAATGGTGGATGATTCTTGTAAGTAAGAAAGCTTTCCTGCCACTATGTGGAATTATTGGGAGAGAGTAAACGTTATTGTACTCTCTTGGGTCATGAATTCTGTGAATAGTAGCCTTCTTGGTGGTATAATGTATGCGTATAATGCTCAGGCAGTCTGGGATAATCTATATGAACGATTCTATAAAGTAGATGATGCAAGAACTTTTAACTTGCACAAAGAAATTGCCACTCTTACTCAAGGGACTTCATCTATATCAGTGTACTATTCAAAATTGAAGGACATGTGGGAGGAATTTGAAGCTTTAATACATGTTCCTGGTTGTGATTGTCCAAGATCTAGAGATTTTGTGGTTTACTTACAGAAACTAAAAGTATACCAGTTTCTGATGGGCCTCAATGAGTCCTATGCCCAAGCTAGAGGTCAAATTCTTATGAGAAGCCCACTCCCAACAGTAAATCAAGCATACTCAATGATTATAAGTGATGAAAGTCAAAAGGCAGTGGCTGCTACTTTTGGAATTTTGGGTGCAAATCCAGCCATTACTACAGAAAATTATGATATAGCAATGTATACAAAAAATACGGGAAATCAAAGGTATAAAAGGAACTATAATGTTCAATATGACTTCTGCAAACTTAAAAGTCATAACAAAGAAAATTGTTTCAAGATAGTTGGCTATCCTCCAGATTTCAAGTTTAAAAAGAAAGGGTCAAGAACCTACAATGGTGGAGCAAGAGGTCCAACAGCTTATAATGTTCTTGCAGAAATTCCAAATCACCAGCCTAATGTGAATTCAATGGGACTTACCAACAGGCATCAGGAACTCACCAACAGACATCTCAGATGACAAATTTTCAAAACATGGGCTATACTGATAATCCACAATCAATGCCTCAGATAGGAGAATTCACAAAAGATCAATATGAGCAGATATTACAAATCCTAAATAAAACTAACACAGAAGGCAACAACAACAACTCTGCAGCAAATGTAGCAGGTATGAGTAGTGCTTTGTTAGTTTCAAATTGTCCAAAAGAATGGATTATTGACACTGGTGCAACTAACCATATGGTGTCTGATATTGAAATGCTAAATCGGGATTCTATAGTTGAAAATACTAATCCTAAGAGGGTATGTCTTCCTAATGGTGAAGTTTCAAATGTTACTTACCCTGGAACTAGCTCAATATCTGCTAGAAGCACACTTAGCAATGTTTTTTATTTGCCTCAGTTCAAATTTAATTTAATGTTTGTATCAAAAATGACTAAGGAACTAGCTTGTACAACAACCTTCTACCCTCATTTTTGTATTTTCCAGGATCTCTTCAATGGGAGGGTGAAGGATATTGGTATATATAGAGATGGGCTATACATTCAAATGAGTCAACTTGCTAATAAAGATATGAATTTTGGCCTTCTTGTCAAGGAAGTGCTTAGTGCAGAAGATATAAGTCTATGACATAAAAGATTTGGTCATATGTCTATGTCTGTTCTTAGGAGAATGATTCAGAACAAAACTGAATCTATAGCAGAAGTAGTAAATAAATGTAATGTGTGTCCTTGTGCAAAACAAGTCAGATTACTCTTTCTAGCAAGTTGTATTAAAAGTACTGAGTGTTTTGAACTGATTCATATGGATATTTGGAGGCCTTATAAGATTCCTACATTTGATGGAGAAAGATTTTTCTTGACTATAATTGATGACTTCTCTAGGATGACATGGACTTACTTATTAAAATTGAAGTCTAATGTGTGTGTTATCATTCAGTATTTTCTAAATTTTGTTCAAACACAACGACAAAATAGTTAAGACAATAAGAATAGACAATGGCACAGAATTTGTTACTACTGTCTGCAGTAATTTGTTTAAAAGATTAGCTATAATTCATCAGAGAACATGTGCCTATACCCCTCAGCAAAATGGAGTAGCTGAGAGAAAACATAGACACGTCCTAGAAGTAACCAGAGCTATCAGATTTCAAGCTAATAGTCCTATTAAATTTTGGGGTCATTGTGTTCTAGCAGTTGTATACATACTTAACATATTGCCTTCATCAGTTATAAGAGTCACCCTTTGAAAAATTATACAAAAGAAAACCTTCACTGATTCATTTAATGGTTATAGGCTGTATTTGCTATGCCAAGATTATATAAGAAACACACAAACTTAAACCAAGAGCTAAGTCTATAGTATTAATGGGCTATTCAGAGGTTCAAAAAGGTTATATTTTATATTATTTAACTACTCATTCTTTCTTTGTAAGCAGAGATGTTATCTTCAGGGAAGATGTGTTTCCATTCAAGAACACTACTGCATATTCACCTCCTATATTTCTGTCTCAACCTAATTTAGACAATAGACAATTTGAAGAATACAATCAGCAACTTGTTGGTCCCTCTCAAACTTCAAATACTTAAGTCTATGAAGCTGATTACACGGATACAAATGTAGAAGAGTTTCAAAATCCTAACTTACAAGCTAGCACAGAAAGCTTGAATATAGCTCCATCTGCTACTGCAAATCTACAACAGAATCACTCATCAACTGTTCTTCCTACTACCTCAGTGGATAATCAACAGATTCAACAAAATATCACTACTAGAAGATCTGGCAGGGAAAAATATCCTCCAATATGGATGAAGGACTTTGTTTCCTTGAATGTACATCATGATGTCAACTATCCAATATCAAACTATCTGTCTTATGAAAACATTTCACCAAAGTATCAAGCTTACCTATCTACATTCTCCACAACAACCGAACCTAACACTTATGCAGAAGCAGTTAAAGATCCTAGATGGGTTGATGCAATGAAATTAGAGATTGAAGCACTTGAAAACAACCACACTTGGAAAGTTGGTCACTTGCCAGTGTAGACGCCCCCTTTTTCTATATATGGGTCGAAATCGGGTATACGATATTGGGAGGACAACTCTATTCCCTTTCGAGAATTGGGTCTTAGAAGTTTAAGAGTCGCCACCTAATGATTATAGTGCATTAGGATACTTTTAAGAAAGGTTTGAGATGAAGGGACTAGAGATTAGGGTAAGGGCTAGAAATTATCCCGAGGGGAAGGTGTTAGGCACCCCTCAGGATCCACAAGTGTGGTTCCCGACCATGCTACAATTGTGACTTTAAGAAGACAAGTAGAAAAATAAAGCAAAGGGCTTCACATAGTTTTGCAAACAAGTTTAAGAGTCGAAGAAGTAGAGAGTTTAGAAAATTAGTTTTAAAAGAAAACTTAAAAATTAACAAGTGAAAGGGAAATGGGTCCTAGGTTTACCGATAATATGGATCACATCAATGCAATATCCAGCAATCACTCCTCAGAAGAGGGATCGCGTGTGATATTAGCGCACCGGTAATCATATCCATATTCTACCCTTCCTACCCCGTTAAGGTATTAAAGCGCGAAAAGTTCTGTTACTTATTGCATGCTAGTACCCGTCCCAATCCTATCAGTCCTAGAGGCATTTAGGACTACTAATCCTAAAGGGAAAGGGATTTGGGACCTTTTGAGAGTTTAAAAGGACAAAATACTAAGGCGTCAATCAAAACACATAATACAAGTAAAAGTGGAGGCAGATAAGAAGGTAAGGCTCAAGTAAACCTCCTTAAATCAGATAAGCCATAGAGTTTAGCATGTCTTGCATGTACTGGTTTGGTCTTTAAAAATTAAAGCGATAAGCGGACTGATTCAACACATACTTTTAGACAGGAAGTCCATATTAGGCTCACTCGAATGCAGTTGTCAAAGACTGATCCACTTTAATTAGTTAACTTTACCTTAAGAGTGGGACAGAACCACTGATTGTAAAGGAGCTGCAGAATAAGATAAGTTTCAGAAAAGATTGCAGACTTAATACAAAGAAAATGGATAAAATGAGTTTAAGAAAATATACTTGTTTAAGAAAAAGATTTGCCGAGTTTTAACAAAAGAACTGAATTGCAGACTGATTCAAAAGGTTTATCAGATAAGTATAAAGAAATGAATTCAGATTGATTTGAAAAAATATTTGTCAAATTATCAGGAAAGCAGTAAGTTGTCAGAAAATATGCACTGATTTGGGAATATTTATCAAGAAGGGAAAAGATGCACTGATTTGGTTGCAAGAAAAGTTTTAAGGGTTCAAAAAATGTGCAGAAAGTCGCTTGTTTTAGCAAAAAGGGTCAGTACTATTTTAGACGAGCGAAACAATTCTGATTTGAAGTTCCTTTAGGCATGATCTCTACGAGTTACTGATTTTAATACCTTTCAAACGTTAGCAGCCTTATAAACATGGTATCTATATGCTGATTTATCATTAAACCTAACGGTTTGCCTAATGTCATTATAAATACAGAAATGCAAATCCCTATAGGCATGGTATCTGCATGCATAGTTGCAGAAATAAGAAAGTTAGATCCTATAGGCATGGTTTCTACTTGTGAGATTGCATAGATTAACAGTAAAAGTCCTATAGGCATGGTTTTTACCCTTTTGTGCATAAAAGTAAACCCCCTCCCCTTTTCACTAGATCCCCGAGTTTATACAAATTATTACAGACCAGAAAAATAAGACAGAAATAAAAAATACATCAAAAATTACAGCTACATCCGAGTAGCCTAATTCAGACTTAGTATCTAACAATATGAGATTGAACCACTTCCGAGATCCAGATTTCCAAAGCCTTCTCTTATCTAGGGTGTTTCAGAGATCCAAGGAGTTTCAAGAACTCCAAGTAGTGCTTACACCCAAGATATTAATTAGAAAGAGTTACAGTGTAGTGTGGAAGGGCCAGCCCTCAGGTGTCTAAGTTCAGAAGGAGCTCAGGGGGTCCCAAGGTAAGGCTCACAAGAGAGGGGCAGAACTTAGTTTCTAAGAAAGAGTGTAAGTGCAAGAGGGGGTTAGAGAGTGACATGGCAGGATGGTGGTCATGCCTAGCCATAGGATAGGCTGGCACACCCCTAACCAGGCCTGTTCAGCCAACACAGGAGATTTTATGACTCAGGGAGTCCAGTCCATATACATGAACAACAATGTCAAGGGTTGTCATGTTATCTGAACCATAACTCAGCATACAAAGGGTTTAGGGATGGGGATTCATATAGGAGCAGGAATAAACAAACTTGTGAAAAGCAGTAAAATAAACAAAGAGAAGACTGAAGCATAAACACATAAGAGAGAGGCAGGATTTAAACAAGAAGAGACATACCAGTTGGAGAAAAGTAAGCAGGAAGAAAAGCAGAATACTTTCACCCAAAGCACAATAAGAGAAGAGGACTCTAGCTTATGAGTTCAGAGAAAAACTCGAATGCTTTTAAGAAAACTAAGAGTATTTGAGAGAAGAAGTAGTGACTTATGTTGTGTGTGTTCGTGTCTTTGAAAGAGAAGAGTATAGGTATTTATAGTTTTGAAAACGAGTAAAGAATAAGGTAACAAGTATAACTTTAACACAAATATGGGCATGATCACAATCAGAATCAACTAACACAAGACTTCCCTTTAATCAAGGGATTATTGTTCAAACGAATACTAACAGGATCAAAATAAGGAAAGAAAATCAATCTGTAAGCAGAATGGTTGTTGCCATAAAAGGAGCAGTAAAATCATAAATAGGTATTTAAGTCCAAGTACAGGATTGTACTTATTTTTGGAAAGGGTTTAGTAAGGCCAAACCAAGAAAGAGAATCAATTAACCCTTAATAGGCAAGTAAGAGGGAAAAGTTTTGAAATCAGTTATGAGTTTGAAAATCAATCACATAAGGGACTCAGTATATAAAGGAATGCACAAGTAATAGACATGTGAGGCCAAACTATAGCAAAAGAAACAACATACAGTAGTAGCATAGAGCAAGCATTCGAAGCATGATAGTCAAGTTTCAGTGGTTTAGTAATAGAGAAAAGGATCAGAGGCATGCAAAGAGTCGAGTGAAAATCATAGTCGAGTTTGACAGGTAGCAAGAACTCAGAACCAAAAGAGTCACATAAAGAAAAAAGAGAGTTGAAGTAAAGGAATCACATTGAGCAATTTCAACAGACGAAGAACTTCAGGAACTCAAATAGACCCCCAAAGAACTAGGGTTTTCAAAATCAGTCAGGTTTAGAGGCGATAAACAAGTGAAACAAACAAACAAATTCATAATCTCGAATAAACCCCAAAAATTAGGGTTTTCAACATGCTAACTCAGATAGAAAAACAAGGTAAACGAATGTTAACAAACAGACTAAGAAACAAAAACAAAATCTCTAGAATTAGGGTTTTAAACATGCTAACTCAGATAGAAAACAATACAAGCAAAACACAGTAAAACATGTCGAGAATCAGAGAAGAGATTCGAAATACCTTAACATAAAACCCTAATTAAAGAATAAAGAGTTTTGAAAGCAAAAAATTAAAGAAACTTTGAGAAAGATGCTTAGAAAGTTCAAACACATATAGATCCGGGGCAGATCTGAAATAAAATCGAAGGAACCTTAGAGATTAGGATTTCGTAAGAAACCCAGGCGATGAGAAAGGCTTTGAAAACCATCGATCTAAGCAGGAAAGTCGAAGATCGAACTCGAATAGCCATGGCTGTCCTGGACAAAGGTTGAAGACAACCGGAGAACAGTCATCAAGCAAAGGCTTGGTCGAAACCCCTTCAAGATTTGGTCATAGGACCTCAAAGACGAGCACGTAGAGGCCATAAGAGGTTGGTACGGGTCTCCGATGAGCCTGGGAAGCCATGGATTAGGGTTTCAGTGAGAGGAGGCGGCTAGGGTTTGAGGTGGTTTGAGAGAGAGTTGAGAGAAAGAAGGGATTCAAAGGTGGCGTCTCTGAAGGAATGGGGTAGGTTTAGGGGTCGTTTGAAATTAAAAAGGAAAGAATCAATGGTGGTCATTGATCTAAGTGATCAACGGCCGAGATTGAACGGGTTTATGGGATGGGTCGGTTGAGTAGGTGCTGGGTCGGGTTAAAGGGGTGCCAAATTGGCTGAAATTGAAATACAATTGAGGCTAAATTGTAAATAGCCACTTTTCCCATTTTGTTTTATAAAAACTAGCAATAACGATTTTAAGAACAAATTAAAAGTACCGAGTAAACAAATATCATATAAATATTAATTAAAAAATGTTGGGGTTAATCTTATAATTATAAGATGCTATCAATTACAAAATAGGCTATAATTGCAATTATATGCAATTTAGCTTTTATAAATGCCAAACAAATTTGTAAAAATGTGCAAAAATCGCCTTAAATTGTATTTTGGTGTAAATATGAGGATAAAATAAGTTATTCACCAAAAATAATAATTTTGGGAATAATTATTGGATTTATGGTATTAAAATAGGCAATAACTTGGTTTTAAAAATCATTAAAAATACCAAAACTCTTGGGTGTGCTGATATATGCACATATATGCTATTTTGGAAATATTTTGGGTATAAAATTACCTAGGAAAAAATTGGGTATCAACAGCTGCCCCTCTTTACCCGAGGAGGATGAAAGAGTTGTCGGGTAAAGACAAGATGGCCAATTTTGACCGGAAATGGCGATTTGAAAGGAATTTTGACCGAGCTCTGGTTTCTAAGCTGCCTACATATCCCTGGTCTTATAGAAATCAGGCCATATGTAGTTCAGGAACCATTGACGGAATATGCCGATGGAGAATTGAAACGGACGAACGCGATGTTTAGATTGAGAGAGGTTTTTGAAAATCGATAGGCTGCGGGAACCGGAGCAAGATCGATCCT